CTACTGTGGGCATTCACTTCTATGAATTTCCCTCATAGAACAGCTTTCTCTTTTTTTATTTTATTTTTTTGTTGTTGTTTTTTTCTTTTTTTCTTTTTTTTGGTACCAGGGATTGAACTCAGGTCCTTGCACTTGCACAGCATGTGGTGAAACCACTGAGGTAAATCCTTGACCCAGAATTTCTTTCATTTTGGCCCATAGATTCCTGTATGTTGTATTGGGATTATCATTTATTTATAAAAACTATCTAATTTCTTCTTTAACTGCCTCTGTTACCCATTGGTTATTCTGGAAAGTTTTATTCAATTTCCATGTGTTTGTGAAGTTCTTGCGTATTCTTATGATATTGGTCTCCAGTTTAATTTCACAGTTGTCTGATAATATGCATGGGATAACTTCAATTCCCTTGCATTTACCTAAACATGTTCTAAGAACTAGTATTTGGTCTATTTTGGAGAATGACCTGTGTGCTGTTGAAAAGAATGTACATTCTAATTTTGTGGGCAGAACACTCTGAGGATGTCTTTAAGTCTATTTGTTAAAAACCTTGGTTCTGTTCTAGAATTTCATTGTTGATTTTTTGTCTAGATGATCTGTCTATTTGTGACACTGCAATATTGAGTTCCCCCACTACAATTGAATTAGGGGTTATTTGCTTTTTCATATCCCTTAATATTTGTTTTGTATAATTGGGGGCATTAGTATTTGGTACATATATATTTATGATTGTTGTCTCTTCCTCTTGAATTGTTCCATTTACAAAGATGTAGTAACCATCTTTGTCATTCTTAATTAGTTTGGGTTTGAAATTTACTTTGTGGTAAGATAGGTACCGCTACTTTTTTCCAGATTCCTATTCCATAGAGAACTGTTTTCCATCATTTTACTTTCATTCTATGAGTTTCTTCTTGAAATAGGTGTGTTTCTTTTACACAGCATATTTTTTTATTTTGCTTCTTAAACCTTCCACCAGTCTGTTTCTTTTGATTGGTAAAGTGAGGCCACCAACATTGATGGTTATAACTGATATGTATTGACTTCTCATTGTCGTGTTATTTTCCTGTTGTTGGTTCTTTTTTATTTTCCCCCTCACCCCTTGATTTGCTGCCTTGCCTGATGGATTTGCTCTGTTGGACCTCATGGAGTTGTGACCTTCATTTTCTTTTTCTAGGATATTTTTTAGAATTTTTGGAGTGCTAGTTTGCTATTCATGAAGTTTCTCAGGTATATTTGTCATGGAACTATCTTATGCTTCCATCAATTTTGAAAGATAGTTTTGCAGGATACATCAGTCTTGGTTGGAGGTTGTTTACTTTTAGGGCTTGAAATACCACACTCCAGGCTCTCCTTGATTTGGGGGTTTGTTTTGAAAATTCTGTTGTGATTCTACTGGACTTTCCTTTGCATGTGATTTATTTCTTTGCTTAACTGCTTGTACTGTTTTGTTGTTTCGTTGGGTTACTGGGGTCTTGATTATTATGTGTCTATGTAAAGGGTTTTTTTATCATGGCTAGTTGGAATCCTCTATGCCTCACTTATCTGTATGTCAAATTGTTTTGCTTGTTTTAGGAAGTTTCCTGTCATTAATTCTGTGAACAATATTTTTTATGTAATTTGTACTTTCTCCTGCTTTTTCCTGGAATTCTATCAGTTTTATATTATTCTTCATTGCATCACCCAGGAACCGTTGGATTGATTTCTCAGGGTCTCTTACTGTTTTTAAGAGATCTCCATTTTTATGGTCACTGACCACCATCCTATCTTCTATATCTGATATGCTATTTTCAGATTGGCTCTGTCTGCTGTGTATACTTTCAATAGAGTTTTTAATCTCCTGGATATTTGTTTGAATCTGTTTCATGGATTCCATTTCTTTCCTATGTTGGGCATTCATGGTTTCCATTTCTTTTGTGTTCTGGGTATTCATGGCTTCCATCATGGTCCTGAACTCATCTATTTTTTATCTCTTTCTATTCTAGAGTCTCTACTCATGCCTTTCACTCTGCTCACCATCCCTGTATTTATCTGCGATATTATTTCTGTCTTGAATTTTTCTAGAGCCTCCTTCATCTGTTTCATTAATTCCTGTGCCATCAATTCAAGATGAATAGGTGGTTGATTATCAGACTTTTCCACCTCAATTCCCCCCACACACACAATCTGCCTTTGCTGAGCTGGAAGTGTGGGTTTGTGCCCTGCTTAAATATCTCATCATTCTTAATTTTGTTGTTGTACTATCCTTGTTTTAATTCCTGAGTTGATACTTCAATATTGCTTATTGTAAGTACATTTGTTGCTTGTATTTAGAACCTTTATGGCATGAATGCTTCTCAGAGTGTCTTCCAGATATAGCCAGTTGTTAGGATTTGAGTCTCTAATAACTCTGAGGCAATCATATTTTCATTATACCAGGAAGGAAAACTGATTAGATCAATCACAACACCTTAGCCCAAGTGATACAGTTAGCAACAAGATAGCATCAAGCACATGTTAGGAAATGACAATTTGTGTTAGTTATTTTTGTGTGTGTGTGTGTGTTAGTTATTAACCTATCACCTTTAACCATGTGAATTAAATCAAAATCGAGGACCAGCCCAAAATATACTTATAGTGAATAACCTCTTCAGTATTGCAAATTTACCCTCAGAAAGAGTTGGGGATGAAGGGATAAATTGGTAGAAGTACAGACAAATATTTACAGTGAGGCCAGAGAACACAGGAAGATCATGCAAACTCTAGGAAACTGTTGAAGACAAAAAGAAAAGACAGAATGAAAGAAAAAAGACAAGAACAGAACAACTTAACTAATAGAGAGGCTAGAAATTGTATTCATTTTTCTTTAAAACTAATGAGAATTGAAGGAGGAAAAAGAAGAAAAGAGAAAGAATAAATCTGAATCAGGGCAGGAATAAAGGGGACATGAAGAACAATGTGGGAGAATGAGAGAGTGAGACAGAGAGAAAAAGAAGAGAGAAACAAAGAAAAGTTTGGAAAGAGTAGAAAAAAATAAAAATTAAATATAAGAGATAAAAGTAATTTAACAAATAAAAAATAAAAATGAAGGGCTTTCTTCAGGGTATGTCTCTGCTGTCACAATAGACAACATGGGCAGCAGTAGGCAGCTCTAAGTCAATTAGGCTCAGGAAGCCAGCAGCAAACCCCTGATATTCAGGCTGATTTTTGGCTGTGTGTCCCTAGTTGAGCTCCCTGACCTCCTTCAGGGTTAAACTCTGCAAGTTTCTACTGCAGGTTCCAGATGCCCTTACCCTGAAAATAGTCCAGGTTTTGATAGGAGATGGTGATCCCTCTGACTTACTAACTAAAATGGTCTGGAGTGCCTTCATTGCAGAGATTCCCTTCACTTTTCTAGTGGGCTTTAATTTTTATCAAGGGGCTTGAGAAAGGCCCTCGTCCTGTTTTTCCCTTCCACTCTATCTTCTGAAGCTCAGGACAATGGCCTTTAGGACTCCCTATGCCTCTGTGGTGTTGGTCCAGCTAGCAGAGTTGACAGGAGGCCAAAGTCCATCGGGTTCAGTTTTGGGGTGATGCTGCAGGCTACTCAGAGGCTGTGGTAGGGGTGGTGTAGCAGCCCAGCTCCACACAGCTCAGCTCCTCACGCATCCACTCTGTGCTCAGAGGCTGGGCTAGTAATTTCTTGATAAAGCAAAAACTAGAAGACATTGTACTTGCAATGTTTGTTTCTATTATTAACATTAGAAATGTCATTCTGAATTTAAATCATGTGTCCATTTTATAAAATATGAATCAAAACCCAGGCAGAACATGTAACAAACTTACTACCAAGGTGCAGTACTTGGTTGTATTAAATTTTTGCCTACTTATATTTGTTATGAGATAAATTGGTTAAAGGTCTAAAAGATCAGATATTTTGTAAAGATTAAACTGATAAAACTTTATGTCTGTATATTTGGAAACACAGTTTCATATATTGTAATGTCTTATTTTATTCAAATACCCATATAAACATGTCAATTGATTATAATTTTATTCACAACAAATATTATTTATAAATGAAATACAGTTGCCAGTACACTTATTATGGAGGGTTTTGGAGAGATGTTACAATTGCTAAAGTTTTTCTCACATACAAGCAAAGGTCTGCATATAAATGTAAGGTAGGTGTGTTATGGAAGTGATGAGTAACACAAAACTGAACTGCATGGGCTACAGCGAAACCTTAAATGAAATGTCCCATTGAGCCAGGAGTTTTAGGGATGATCCTCATAATTTACATGTGCACTACTTCTGAGCAGTATTGTCTTAAGTAATTGTGGGAGTAAGTGCCAGCAGACTGAAAAATGTGTAGTTCTGTTACTTTCTGAAGCAGAAGATTTTAAGGGTCACCTATGTAGGTTGGGTGTCAGTGAATGAGCCCCCAGGTGAATAAGAGTCTGTGTCAATTCCTCCCTTTATACAACATCTTACCAAGATTGGCATCCATTCCTGGAGAGCAAGGTTTAACTTCATGGCTGAGAATGCAGAGAGACATCTGGGAAATATGGTGGAGGTCGAGGGATCATTGCTACCAAATGATGCAAATCTAGTGTAGTTTGAAAAATTCTACCATATTTATCTAAAGATGGAAACTAAGTCCCACATGGGGATGGCTCATAGCTATCTCTGTTTTGTGATGAGGGAAGGAATTCCTTACATTTAAAGTAAAAGGCTGAATAGGCTAATGAACAATAGACACAATGCTTTTCATGTTCCAATCTATGAGATGACTGCATTTGTACCTTATTTTTTAACCAGAACTACACACTCAAATTTTACTTCAGAAAAGCTGAGACCCATGTTCTTTTGTCCAAGTGCACTGCATTTTCTGCTGCTTGGCAGTAGCCTCACATTTCCATGAATATCTGTGACTTCCTAACAGAAGAGTTTAAATCCTCAGCACAGACTGCTGTCTTAATAACTTTTATCTCTATCCACAGATTCAACGCTTAGGTTTTAGCCTGTGACAGAATCTGTACTGGAAGGCATCTGACAACTCTGTGAATGGCATTGAACGTGCAGGTGCATAAGAATGTGTTTTTCTACTGGTATTACAAGCTCATTGAGAGCAGATACTAAGTCTAAAGTCCAAGTAGGTGGGATTAAGGCATCTATATTTCAGGCACGATTTTCTTCCCACTGAGGTAATTTTAATGGTTGTAAACTTATAATGCCTTATTTACTATATAATATGCATACAATGCTATTATATAAACATGTTTGCTTATGGGTTTCAGTATCTTTGTGTATGTGAATCTACACTATGGCTTTGTACTTATAGAAGAAATGTAAGATATTTCCTCCCTAATTGAATTCCTTCTGCTTTTTATAGAACTATTGACTTCCTTGCCTGTGCTGCTAACTGTAGTGCTGTTAGAATTGTGCTGAATGCAGGGCATAGATATCTGTGAGAAGTAGGGCACTGCAGCCCATGGCAGTGAGGGAGTTAAATATTTCTCCAGGTGAATTCAATCAAAAGGGAGGCAAACATTTTGATATCAAGTCTGTAAGCTCTGTAAAAATAATGAAAGATGTTTAGGAAGGTTTGCAATTGCCAATCATTTAATTAATTTTACACTTAATAAATTGAATAGTACCTACTTCAGTGTGGAAAAGTCTTCAAAGTATAACCTAAAATAATTTATTGTTCTGGACCAAAGTCATAGTACTTTCATGTCAATAATGCAGAATTTTTTATATTTGATGGAGGCATGTTATTATTAGATATTATTATTAACTTAATTGGTTGTAATCTTAACTCAATAGTGTAGTAAGGGAATTAATAGAATGAAAATAAAGGCTCTGGAAATTTTTTGAAGAACTGAACATGTGGTACCTCACCTAAGCTTCTTGAACATGTGAATATAGTGACAACATTCATAAAGGAGACCTTGAAGAATAATATTGGGAGTTTTCAGAGAAGAGTGAGAATCCTCACAGCTCAGGAAAGTTCATCTAGAACAAAGGACAATACCCCAAACAGGAGGATTTCTGATGAGTCCTGCTTGGCATTTGTCCTGAACCTCACTCTGCAAATTTGATTCCATTCCAGTACAGACAGAACACAGCCACAGATGGTGACAGTCATGCAATTCAGCCAGTGATCAGGGATGGTGGTTAATCCTTTCACTGTCCTTGACCTTCTTATGAATAATACAAACAACAATTATAATAACTGTCTTTGAGATAGGACAAACATTCTGTGGATTGTTCCACATTCACATCAGTATAAAATTGGTTAAATAGATGAGGGATGTGAGGTATAGGAATGAAAATGAAACAACCATAGTCACTCTCACTAATGGAAACCAAAACAGTGATAACAATAATTCAATTCTTTATGTAAGAATGTTAATCAAAATGATCAGGGCAGATATTTTTCTGTGAAATTGTGAAAATGAATATTTCATAGCACCCTTCATAAAAGTTATAACTACCATTCTATTGACAAATGTCAAAGGTTTTCAATACCACATATGTAAAATTTCTCATAATGTAATTATTATCCTTCATAATAATGAATTTATGAGTTCAGAGTGGGTTTGTAAAGAGAAACAATACTGTTGCCCTAAACAATTCAATTTCTCTGTATCCAGGCTTTCCTCTGCCTCTGGGCTATTATCTGAGTTTTCATGGAAAGAACTTTGTCGCTATTCCTCTATCTAAAGTGTAGTGTCTATGATCTTCTAGAAGTTACTGACCATTGAAGATGTGAGCATAAAATTCACCTCAGAGGAATGGGCCCTACTGGACACACCTCAGAGAGAGCTTTACAGAGATGTGATGGTTGAGAACATTAATCATCTCCTATCCCTTGGTGAGTCCACCATTGTCTCTATCTATATTCAGTCATGCAAGTATTCTACCATTAGTTTTCTAGAATGTGTGATGCATACCCAAATAACTCTCTGTCTGAATTTGTTTATAAACCATACACCTTCATGAAAGAAAGTTTTCAATCACATTCATTTACAAGATGTTTTTAACAACCTTGAATGTTGACTTGATCACTATTTTGTGCAAAACGCAGAGTAAAACTGTGTATTGAATGCATGTTTTCAAAATTATAAATTCACTAAATAATGGGAAACGTATTATACTCAACTCAGCATGTTGAATTTTGACCCAGACATGAAAGTAAATGTGAGTATCCTTGAACGGTTTGTGTTAGATTCTATTTAAATAGTATTCATTTTACAATGGACATATGTATTTTATTATTTTTGAAATATTGATAATTCTGCATTTTATTTAAAAAGGGGAATGAATATAAGAATCCTGACAGAGAATCCTTTTTTGG